TATCTATCTATCTATCTATCTATCTATCTATCTATCTATCTATCTATCTATCTATCTATCTATCTATCTATCTATCTATCTATCTATCTATCTATCTATCTATCTATCTATCTATCTATAAGAATTATTTGCTAATATACAGTCAAAGGTGGGAGAAAACAAAATGAATAGACTCTTCCAGGCAAGCAGACAGCCTGCATGTGCTCAACTCGTAAAATACCATTCCTTGATGCACACAAACCCTGGTTTTCTTCCCCCATCTCCTCAGCCAATGACCCACTCACCAGTCAGAGCGCATGCCTCTCTTCCTCCTCTTCGGCTGTTTGACCAATCCTTGGCAGAAGCATGGATTTGCCTGTCCTGCCTCCTTGTCTGAGTGGGCGATCAGCTGAGAAGGCGGGACAGGGAAGCCCATGTTCCTGCTGGGGACTGGCTGAAAAGTCAAAGAGGAGGAGGAGAGGATGGTGTGCTGACTGATGAGTGGAGAATCCAGCCGGGGAGGTGGGGGAAGGGAATGTGTGACACCTGTGGGGCTACACGTAATAACGGGCATGAACCTCCAAAGTGAGGTTCAGACCCATCTCTACAATCCTGTGCTCAATCCCTGTAACTTCCGTGCATCCGAATGTTAAGCACAAAAAATCTCATTGCTTTGTAATCCGTATGTTGTGCATTAAAATTTTATAATTGCTTTATTTAAAGCACCCTAGAGGGACGACAGCATTCATCCATAGGGCAAGATGTGTTCCTTTTGCTCTCCGTAGGTTTAGCCTAGCTTCTTCTGGTTTAACATTTAGAGATTGAGATCTGCTGAGAAATTTTGCTCAATTTCAGCTGTCATCTAGGGGTTTGGTGTCCATGAAGTGGATGGGTTCGGTGCTGTGTTTTCTTATTCTGTCCATCATTTGCTAGCGCATTCCAACATACTTCTGGAGGAACAATGAGAGCCAATAATAAAGGCTCTGGAGACTGGAAGGAAGGAAGGAAGGAAGGAAGCTTTAGGTGTTCAGGATATGTCAAAATTCTCATTTTCTGTGGCCATTTTACTCTTTCGCCGTTCCTAGAGAAACAAGGCATGAACTCTGCATTGAGCTGTGATCTTTTAAATGTGCAATGGAACTGAAACAAATTGCATTTCCTGTATTCCCTACCACGCACACCCAGAATGAAAGGTAGAACAATTTGTTCACATTTACATGTGTGTGAGTGTGGGCAGGCACATGTGTTTCCCTTTTTCCAAGAAGAATTAATGGTGCTTCCTCCTCCTCCCACTGTTGCACTAATGACAGTCTGCAGCAGCAATCTGTTCTCATTAGCCGTTGTTTCATTCCTAACAATAGCAGAAAACAAAAATCCATCTAAGCTAGAAATAGACAAGCAGAGGGTTGGAATTGTGTTCCTTTCAGATATGTCCACAAACTAGAATTGTGTTTAGTTCACATAGACATAAGAATTTTTCTCAATTTGCTAATCTCTTCAAAAGCAGGATGGGAGGAGCTCTATCTATCTATCTATCTATCTATCTATCTATCTATCTATCTATCTATCTATCTATCTATCTATCTATCTATCTATCTATCTATCTATCTATCTATCTATCTATCTATCTATCTATCTATAAGAATTATTTGCTAATATACAGTCAAAGGTGGGAGAAAACAAAATGAATAGACTCTTCCAGGCAAGCAGACAGCCTGCATGTGCTCAACTCGTAAAATACCATTCCTTGATGCACACAAACCCTGGTTTTCTTCCCCCATCTCCTCAGCCAATGACCCACTCACCAGTCAGAGCGCATGCCTCTCTTCCTCCTCTTCGGCTGTTTGACCAATCCTTGGCAGAAGCATGGATTTGCCTGTCCTGCCTCCTTGTCTGAGTGGGCGATCAGCTGAGAAGGCGGGACAGGGAAGCCCATGTTCCTGCTGGGGACTGGCTGAAAAGTCAAAGAGGAGGAGGAGAGGATGGTGTGCTGACTGATGAGTGGAGAATCCAGCCGGGGAGGTGGGGGAAGGGAATGTGTGACACCTGTGGGGCTACACGTAATAACGGGCATGAACCTCCAAAGTGAGGTTCAGACCCATCTCTACAATCCTGTGCTCAATCCCTGTAACTTCCATGCATCCGAATGTTAAGCACAAAAAATCTCATTGCTTTGTAATCCGTATGTTGTGCATTAAAATTTTATAATTGCTTTATTTAAAGCACTTACACCTCCATCTTCTTTTGGTCAGCCCACAATATCTGCATTGTGGGGCCATCTCTCGTGATTTCTGTCTCTCTCTCTTCTTCCATACTTTTAGAAAGCAATTGAAGCTTTTCTTAAAATTTTTAATTATTGTTCTTTAAAATTAATTTCAAATAGATTTTAATAAGGCATTATTTAATTCTTTTTCATTGCTTTTCTGAAAATCACAAAACTACCAATGGGTGATAATAATGGGTGAGCAATTTGAAGAAAATTACTATTTAAATATTACTATTATTCTCTCTGCCAACATGGGAGATTAATATAATGAGTAAAGCATTTTCCCCTCAATCAGCCTATTATTTTTTCTTTCCAAAAGATAGACAAAAGCTGCTATTTTGTTGTTTTTTAATAGACACTATTAAATATTAAATATTGATCATTATTATCATCATTATTAATGTTCCTTGACAGAACATGTTGGTTCAAAATAAATAAATAAACGGCAAGCCAACAATGAATGTTATTTCCACTTTGCCACTGAATTGACCACAATAAAGGATGAACAGCATTTTCTTGAAACAATGCAGCATGTAGGGGAACAGTGAATGCAATTATGATTTTCTTCTTAGGAGAACAGGCTCTAAAAGACCCATTAAAAGATAATTATTGCCCAGAATGCAATCTTATGAAAAGCCACAGGACTTGGGCTTGAAATCAAGATTTTGTACAGATTGAACATTATAAGAGCACTTTTCAAAATAAATGAAACCAGAGGATCTCGGAGAACTGCTTGGTGACATCAGAAAGAGAATGTTTGCTGAAGGTTAAGGTCTGATTCCACAAGTTAAACTGGTTCCCAGTTCTGATCTGGTTTCCTGTACCATTTGGTGGATATGCTGACTATTTTTATCCATGGAGTAAAAGCATTGGTCCCTCAATCCAAATGCAGATTGGAGCCAAGAAATCAGATTGGAGCCAAGATGAAGACTTGGAAGGGCAACTATGGAGAAACTATAGAAAAGATCATCTAGTGTAAACATGTGCCACTGGAGGCCAAGGCTGACATTCTTCATATGATAGTTACTATGTATGGATGTGAAAGCTGGGCAGTCAAGAAAGCTAAGAGGAAAAAGATTGTTTTGTTCAAAATATTGCACTGGACAATTGTTGTTTAGTCATTTAGTTGTGTCCAACTCTTCGTGACCCCATGGACCACAGCACACCAGGCCTTCCTGTCTTCCACTGCCTCCCAGAGCTGGGTCAAAGTCATGTTGGTCGCTTCGATGACACTGTTCAGCCATCTGGTCCTCTGTCGTCCCCTTCTCCTCTTGCCTTCACATTTTCCCAACACCAGGGTCTTTTCCAGGGAGTCTTCTCATGAGATGGCCAAAGTATTGGAGCCTCAGCTTCAGGATCTGTCCTTTCAGTGAGCATTCAGGGTTGATTTCCTGCAAAATGGATAGGTTTGTTCTCTTTGCAGTCCTTGGGACTCTCAAGAGTCTCCTCCAGCACCACAATTCAAAAGCATCAATTCTTTGGTGGTCAGCCTTCTTTCGGTGGTCAGCACTGGACAATCTGGCTTTGCAAATATTCTGGATCATCGTAAATGCAAAAACAGTGGGTCCTATATCAAATTGAGCCTGAACTCTCTCTAAAAGCAAAAATGATTAAACTGAGGCTGCCATACATCATGAGAGGATAAGACTCTTTGGAAATACAAGAATGCTAGGAGAAGCTGGAGACAGCAGAAAAATTGGGAGACCAAATGTCAGGAGGATTGACTCAACAGAGGAAGGCATGGTCTTGAAATTGCAGAAGTTGTGTTGGACTGTTGGAGGTCAGAGAGTGACCGTAGGTCAGAGGTGACTTGACAGCACATAACAACAACAAAGGGATCCACAAATGGGAAAGGGTACAATAGCATTGTGACACTAGTGGAACGGCCACCGTATCTTCCACATACCAGCTCCAACATACAACTTGGAAAAATCTGAAAACAGCTGTAAAAAGCACCATCCACACCACTAGGAAGTACTGGGAAATTTGTCAAAGTCCACCAACCAGAGAGTGTACCGCTTTACTGATTTTTTCCCATACCAAATTTGTAATCAATGGAAGGAGACAATGAATTTAAGTCAACGGGGCCATGCATCTGAGAAATCAGTTGCCAAGTGGCCAAAGAGACAATCAAGGACATGCAACAAGGGACTCCTGATCACAGCAACCTCCAATCACAACTACCGTATAGTACCGTGGCTCCCAACGATGGGTTACCCAAGTGTTCTTGGACTGCAACTCCCAGAAATCCCAGCCAGCACAGCTGGTGGTGAAGGCTTCTGAAAATCGAAGTCCAGGAACACTTGGGTTATCCAAGGTTGGAACCACTGGTATAGGATGTAGGAGTGGAATATGCCAGAGGCGTGAGATTCATCTCCAGGAACTTCCAATGAGTGATTTGGGAAAGAATGATGGCAATCACTTCCCTGGGCAGAGTCAGGGCCCCTGCACAATGGAGACAATGTCCTCCATATCTAGAGAGCTAGCAGTGTGCAATCCTCAACCTGTCCTGCCAACAACACTGTGAGAGGAGTGCACTGCAGTCCCCAGAAATCTCAGGGGCTTCCTTTGAAATTCCTCATATATTTCATCAGAAGAAGGATCCTTTCTTTTTTTTTCTCTCTCTCTCCCTCTCTCTTTCTTCACAATCAAGGTTCACTTTATTTATTTATTTATTTTATTTATCACAATCAAGGTTCACTTTGCACAAAATCTGGGTGGAAGCACAAGTTGTCCATGCAGAGAAAGTACTTACTTGTCCCGCCGTGTCCAGAATGTCCAAATAAGCCGGCTCATCATCTATTCGCACTTGGGTTTTATAAGCGTCCTCTGGAGAGAGGGAAGGAAGGAGGTAAACAAGAAAGAAAACAGATTATTGCTAGAATCTTGCAAGCAAAAAAAAAAAAAAGGAAATGCCACTTTGAAGTTTTGCCACATAAAGGAGGATTCTTGTGATCTGACTAAATTGAACCACTTAGGGTAGCAAGCCCTTTTTATTCCAGCCTGTGTGACTCATTATGAATTTGCTAGCTTTGAAGGGGAAAGGATAGCCCACTGCTTTCCAGCATCAATATTCAAGCATCTGTTCAAAGACACACAACAAGCTACAGGACGCCAGATTTAGGCTGAATATTAAGAAAAGCTTCTTAACTGTTAGAGCAGTACGACAATGGAACCCATGACCTCAGAAGGCGGTGAGTGCTCCAACACTGGAGGCATTCGAGAGAAAATTGGACAGCCATCTGTCAGAATTGATTTATGACACTGTTCCCCCCCCCAGCACTGGGAGACAGGTTTGAATGAAAACTTTTTTTTTGAGGGGGTGGATATATTCTATCATCTTATTATCACATAAGAAGCTAAGGAACCACACAGTTAATTTGTGATCACATAGGAAAGTAGATTACCATTTGGATCCCTTGTGGAGCAGTCCAATGCAAATTTGTGATTGATTTATGACACTGTTCTCCCCCAGCACTGGGAGACAGGTCTGAATGAAAACTTGTTTTTTCAGGGGTGGGGTGGATATATTCTATCATCTTATTGTCACATAAGAGGCTAAGGAACCACACAGTTAATTGGTGATCACATAGGGAAATAGATTACCATTTGGACTCCTTGTGGAGCAGTCCAATGCAAATTTGTGGCAACCACACAGTGCATGGGGAAATGTTCTGCAGCCTTGACCCCAGTTTTTGCTTTCTGGTCCTGCTGTAGGGCTTCTACGTTTGGGGACAGGGGTGATTCCTGGCAGGCAGACAAAGGATTGCTTTAAGGGAGATTGTTCCCATTAAAACGACCCTTTTCAGTGCTATCGGGCATGCTGCTTTTCAGCCCTCCGATCACACCCTTCCTCTCCTCATTCTAGAATCTGTGGCGCTCCCAACAGAGAAAAGATTGAGAACAGGAGCTATTGTTTTGAACACACTGAGCAAAAATAGTGACAATAACACATGAAGACAAATAAGGTTTTAATGCAAATAATGCACAGAATGCCTGCTTTATGGCATGGATGCTTAAGAATTAGGAGCACCAGAAGGATTCTTCTGTTTTGCAAAAATAAAGCCTCTTGTTTTGTGCTGCCTGAATGTGTGCTGTGCTTCTCAAAATAGAAGACATTCATTGTGCAGACAATTTGTGAAAACGACAGAGGTCTTGGTGGGCTAAAGCTAGCCCTGTTCATCTCCTTCTCACTCGGTTGCACAGGACTGTGCTGGCCATCAAAATATCTTGCCGAGGTGCCACTGAGAGGAGACAGCCTAAATCCACCATGAGGAAGCATTTACCAAGGATCCTTCACAGCCCTAAGTTGAGGGAGAGGCTGTCATTTTAATGCTGACTAGAGGCAAAGGGGAGAGGAAAAGATGTTCCCCAAAATGAAAATAACAGTGCCCATGGGAAATGGCAGTTCCTTTAAACCTCATGCTGGCTGGGTAGCTCAATAGTTTGGGTATGATTGGGAGTTCAATTCCCCACTGTGCCTTCTGTGAGTAGAGCCAGCCTGTGTAGCCTTGGGCAAGCTCCACATTCCCAGGATACCTCCAGAAGAAGGAACGAGAAACCACTTCAGAGCATTCTCTAGCTGGAGAACCCTGAAGGTCCATGGGTGTTGCTGCTGTTAAACCCCATTTTGATTTTGGCCCCCTTCGCACACTCTGCAAGCACAATCTGTGAAATAAATGAAACTGCAAGTTTTCCAATGTGACCACATTTAAGGTCACACGTCCTCTGGTTAGAGATGGGGACAGATATAAAAACGGATGTTTTTCCGACGAATATAGCCAATTTGTTAAATATCTGTCGATCCATATTTGTAGGTTCCAGAGACCCCCACAAATACGAAGGGATGAATATTTACCCGTTTTTATTCGTACTTCGCATTCAAAAAAAGTTCTGATTACTGGCAGCCGATCAGCTGATCAGCAGCAGAAAGGCAGCCACCACCCCATTCAGCCACCCAATACGACAGCCTACCACCCACCCCTTTCTTTTCCCTACCTTAGCCCTCCCCCTCCCCCACCGACAGCCCCTTACCTTAATCGAAGCTGCCGAGGTCTCTTGGCCTAGTCCAAGCCATGGTACATAAAAATATGGAAAAGAAGGGGGTTGGTGAGTAGGCTGTGGGGTAGCTAGCTCTGGGGGGGGGCTGCCTATCAGCCTCCGATCAGTTGATTGGCGGCCGGTAGGCAGAATGGGCTTCTGTGCTGTGTGGTAAACTCTCCTCGGGGACCCAACTATGGGTGAATAACTCAGATGCCCGATATCCAATCTTCACCAAAGTTGACAGTTTAGGAGGAGCTTCCCTGGGGGGGTCCTCTTCATGACTATATAACTTAAGGTCCATGTTCCAATGTTCACCAAACTTTCAGTCTCTAAATATCTAGGAGGAGCTTCCCTGGGGGGTCCTCTTCGTGACTATATAACTTGGGGGTCCATGATCCAATGTTCACCAAACTTTCAGGAGTTGTAGAAAAGCATTTTCCCTGCAAATTCAATGTCTCTAAGCGGTTGGGGTCCAGTTTTATAGCCATTTAAAGCAAAGATGGAGTGTCCCTGCAAATTCAGTGTCTCTAAGTGGTTGGGGCCCAGTTTTATAGCCATTTAAAGCAAAGATGGAGTGACAGATCGATTCATCAAAGAATATTCGTATATTCATATCCGTTGAGCCACTAACCTTGACGGATCACGAGCGACAGATCGATTTGTTAAAAAATATTCGTATATTTGTATCCATTGAGCCACTAACCTTGACGGATCACGAATCAAAATGGATCACCATTTTTTTATTTGTCCCCATCTCTACCTCTGGTTCTTGAATAAGCTTAGCAAGCTCCATGCGTGTGTGTGTGCATGGGTGTGTGTGTGTGCACGCACATGTATGTGCAAAGTAATTTCAAAAACCATCTTTTTCTCATCTCCCGTGCGTGTGTGTGCGCATGTGTGCATGCACATGCAAAGCAATTTCAAAAACCATCTTTTTCTCATCTCCCTCTCTGGAAGCCAAGTGGAAAATGAGCACCAGCTAATATTGTATAGATTATTTTGCTCCACTGTATATTTCATGCCCTGTCTCGCTATTCATATTTTCTTGTTAAGGTTAAATGGAGCCGAAGCATTGGACAATATTTATTCTACAACAAGAGCTGGAAATTATCTGTGTTGTTTAATTAAACAACAATGTAAGACAGGCAGTGGGTTTATGGAGATGGATAGCATGCCCTAGTTGCGCACTGATCTGTGAGGTGAGGAGACGGCCCCAAACCAGCCAACAATGTGCTGGAGAAAGGCTGTTTAATTTATCAACGGAAGCATATGTGCAGCCAGGATCAGTGATAGGATTTGGCAAGCCCTCTCAGCCTATGAGCCATTACCTCAGCTGCCTGAAGGCGAGGCTGCCCATTGCTGATGTTGTTAGCACAAATACAGGATGTAAATATAAGTATTGCTCAAGGAAGGGCTGTAACTGAGCAACAGGGCAGAACATTTTTTTCCAGGAATGTACATGACATTAGGCAACATAATACCCTAGAGGGGGCAGAAGATCTGCCAAACTGCAGTCTCTGTATTATCTATCTTCAAAGTTTGCTTTCAATCGGCTGGATGACTCAGTGAGTTAGGCACCGGGCTCCGAAGGCAGAAGTTGGGAGTTCAGACCCCCACTGTGCCTCCTGAAAGTAGAGCCAGCCTGTGTAGCCTTGGACAAGGTACATGCATCCAGAATACTCTCAGAAGAAAGGAATAAGCCATTTTCTGTGTCTAGAAAAGCAGAGCCCTGTGGCCCAGTGGTTAAACTGCAATACTATAGTCAGGTCTCTGCTTATGACCCTCTGAAGGCAGAAGTTGGGAGTTCAGTCCCCCACTGTGCCTCCTGAGAGTAGAGCCAGCCTGTGTAGCCTTGGACAAGGTACATGCATCCAGAATACTCTCAGAAGAAAGGAATAAGCCATTTTCTGTGTCTAGAAAAGCAGAGCCCTGTGGCCCAGTGGTTAAACTGCAATACTATAGTCAGGTCTCTGCTTATGACCTGCATTCAATCTTGACGGGTTAAGATAGCTGGCTCACGGGGGAAATGGTATCCTCATCCTAACCATTGAATTCAGGCAATATAATCAATTGAGGATTTTGTTGAATTTGTTACTGCTGAGAATGGCATGGTTTTCTGTTCAAAAAAGGGAAGGAGAGTTAGGAAGCAAACACACAAACAGAAGGAGACACCAAATGATGATGCTCAAAGCATCAGACACATCTCATCTCATCCCCTCTGTGCCTATTATTAGATTAGATTAGGCATCCTTCAGTCTTGAGAGACTATGGTAACATGCTCTGTATGGAGGACTTCGAACAGCATTTAGTGTAGCTGAGAAGGCCAATTCGTGAGTAACAATCCCTTCCACACTGAAGACAGATACAATCTGTCCCCTGTCCAGCTCCCTGGTTTTGCTGCTTTCGGGACTTCATCTTTGCCTTGGTCTGCTGGACAAGGGTCTCTTCAAATTGGGAGAGGCCATGATGCACTGCCTGCCTCCAGGCTGAACGCTGAGAGGCCAAGGTTTCCCATCTGTTGAGGTCCATTCCTAAGGCCTTCAGATCCCGCTTGCAGATATCCTTGTATTGCAGCTGTGGTCTCCCTCTGGGGCACTTTCCCTGCACTAATTCCCCATCCAGGAGATCTTTTGGAATCCTACCATCAGCCATTCTCCCGACATGCCGAAGCCAATGTAGATGTCACTGTTTCAGAAATGTATACATGAGATGTCAATGTTTCAGCAATGTATACCTGCTATAGAAAAGTGAGTTCTTATGCCTTGGTCTCTGTATGGTACTACTGC